CGTTTTCAGTCTTGGACTCTGAGCTTCTTTAATTATAGATCAAGAAATGCATTGTTCTAATAGAAACAATTTTTTAGATGAGAAAAACGTTTGCGAAGAGTATAACTTCACCAGTGCGGGTGAATTGAGTGGTGATGATGATGAGCAACAAGAATATAATTAACATGAGGGTTAGTTTTTCGATTAATCCCATAGACCTATTAACATGCGAAAAGCACTAAAAGTAAAACTAGAAATACATGCATGCAGCAACCCCTCGCTATTTCAAACCAAGTACACCTGAACTTATATTATGGAATGACACAAAACTCAAATCAGTCTTATTATATTTTACCGAGTATATTATAGCTAATGTTTCCATCATTCAATACAAAAATAATCATAAAGCTAGTGTAAACATTGCCCGCTGCATTATACCATGCCAGCAATTAAGTAACGGTTTAAAATCGAAGTTTCAAACGATTAAAACAGTACAAAATCTTCACAGACATAGAAAATACTTCAAATGTTATTTTATTCTGTATTTTGCAGTCGACGCCGGCGGCTAAAAGTTTCATACTTTATAAATATAGTGTGTATTTTTGATACCAAAATTCAAATTACACTTTCAAAAACACTTTTTGAAGTTAAAGCAAAGGTGTAATAGCCTTTCACAGGTTTATGCGTTTGCATAAAAAGCTGAAAATTTAACAAATAAACGGCATACAAAGCTGAAAAGTATACAAATACGGCTCATTCTTATCGCGAAACAAATACGAAATAAACAAAGTAAACACGTACCCTTTGTCTTTGAAAACATTTATAAGTTTGCAGATTATGAATTATTCCTCTTACACGGCTTTTTCTTGACCGTATCCACGTTCATCTTTGCTAACTCTCATGCTTCATATATCTTTTTTCTTCTCGTTTTACTTTCTTTGCACAAAGTTTATGAAACGCTTTTACAAAAATGTTTACGAAATGACAGTTAATATAAATTGCTGACGTTCTCATTGAAATACAAACTTTCTGTCTTAGCCAATCAGAACGTTCGTTGATTACCAGACGTTACTCGCGCATGCGCATAACTTACAAAACCACCCAACGTCGACCGTCCATGACAAAGAATTTGGACAACTTTGGATTCGCCTATGTTCTACCGGGTTCCGGGTGTAATTCCTAATCTCCGAGCGGAATTAGTACCCTCGCAGGCGCTCCGCGCCCGCTCGGGGATTAAAATACAATAAGGGCGGATATATTGATCTTATATATGAATGAAAAAGAACGTTTATATACCTCGTGGTTTAAATTGGATTGTGAGAAAATTAGTAAAATGGATGTTCGTGCATGTGTATGATAATTTAATTAAGGTAATTTTTGTTATTTACAGAACAAGGGCAGATTTCGTTCTAAGCCAATCAGCGCGTTTGTTGACATTTTTGCTCTCCGCCAATCAGAATGCTTGAAAATAAAAATTGTAAACAAAAGGAGCGAGAAAATATTGCCGTATTCTAAGGCATCCGTGAGCCAGAATATTTACTTTTTATATTCGAAACCGAAAGAATGCAATAAAACATAAATATATCTTGAATTTTGCCGTGGGGTTTTTTAAATTTCAAAACATAACGTGAAATATCGACGTTTGAATTACTGCAATGATGGCGCTCTATGGCTCCAATATATCGTTAAACCCGATAAATTATTTGGGGAATAATGTCGGTTTCTTCTCAGGATTCTCCTTTCCGTCTCATGTTTTCATTTCAGTTCTGGATAATGCTACTTGGAATGAGTTGGATCCTTGGGACAATGAAAACACCATGATATAAATAATAACCATTGTTCGGAGCTTGCTAAGATGTTTTTTCACGCTCAGTGGACATTCTGTCAGAACATATGGCACCGTTTATGCAATAGTAGAGATTCACAGCACCAGCATCCCTGCATATCACCTCAAAGGCATTGAGATCCATTTCTGGTTGGGAAAAATTACCAATGTGAGACTTGATTTTTCTAAGATCATCACTGAAATTTCTTGAGCAGTGAAGAATAATCATCTGCAGAGAGAAATACACTGTCAACTCTTTGGCACTCTTTGTCTGCAACATCCAATATTTTCCCTGTATAAAAATCTTGACTGTCGATGGTATTTGCTTGGCTGCATGGGTGTTAAGTTATTGTTGTTGTGTCACTTGTTTGGCTCTATGATGCTTCTTGGTTAAGTGCTTGATCTTCTACATTATTTTGACTTTCAGCAACCTTATCAGTGGCTATAATTATATCACCAGCCTGGCTATTAGATTGTTCTTGCTTCTCATTCGATTTTTGGCTGGATTCAAGGTGATAAATGGATGTAGTACCAGTACATTCAGGATTAACGTGCATCTGCAGCAGAGTATAGTAAAGTACAGTAAGTTAGCTATAATTATCATATTAATTTACCATAATTAACCTGTTGGAGGGTGGAAGGGAGGTGTATAGGATTACTTATATAATTTTATATTATAATGAATGTAACTCTCAATTTAATTATAATACATCTGGAGGTAGTGCCCATTCCTGGGTACCATGCCATTATGCCAATTTCATTTAGAAATATTGTGTGAAGCCTAGGCACCAGAAAAAGTGCCAGCACAATTGCCGGGCACTCAATCAGAACACAGCCTTAATTCCTCAAACTTCATCTGAATGCCTAATCTTATATTGTGATCTATGATCAAGTAAATTGTAAATTATTTGTGATGCTACTAATTGTAACCTAGTAGTGTAATGTAGTAGGTAGAGAGTAAGGTGGGCGAAGATGATGGGGAAAAGGGAAGGAATGTGTAGGGGATGAGAGTTATAATTAAATTATAATTAAATTGAGAGTTACATTCATTATAATATAAAATTATATAAGTAATCCTATACACCTCCCTTCCACCCTCCAACAGGTTAATTATGGTAAATTAATATGATAATTATAGCTAACTTACTGTACTTTACTATACTCTGCTGCAGATGCACGTTAATCCTGAATGTACTGGTACTACATCCATTTATCACCTTGAATCCAGCCAAAAATCGAATGAGAAGCAAGAACAATCTAATAGCCAGGCTGGTGATATAATTATAGCCACTGATAAGGTTGCTGAAAGTCAAAATAATGTAGAAGATCAAGCACTTAACCAAGAAGCATCATAGAGCCAAACAAGTGACACAACAACAATAACTTTAACACCCATGCAGCCAAGCAAATACCATCGACAGTCAAGATTTTTATACAGGGAAAATATTGGATGTTGCAGACAAAGAGTGCCAAAGAGTTGACAGTGTATTTCTCTCTGCAGATGATTATTCTTCACTGCTCAAGAAATTTCAGTGATGATCTTAGAAAAATCAAGTCTCACATTGGTAATTTTTCCCAACCAGAAATGGATCTCAATGCCTTTGAGGTGATATGCAGGGATGCTGGTGCTGTGAATCTCTACTATTGCATAAACGGTGCCATATGTTCTGACAGAATGTCCACTGAGCGTGAAAAAACATCTTAGCAAGCTCCGAACAATGGTTATTATTTATATCATGGTGTTTTCATTGTCCCAAGGATCCAACTCATTCCAAGTAGCATTATCCAGAACTGAAATGAAAACATGAGACGGAAAGGAGAATCCTGAGAAGAAACCGACATTATTCCCCAAATAATTTATCGGGTTTAACGATATATTGGAGCCATAGAGCGCCATCATTGCAGTAATTCAAACGTCGATATTTCACGTTATGTTTTGAAATTTAAAAAACCCCACGGCAAAATTCAAGATATATTTATGTTTTATTGCATTCTTTCGGTTTCGAATATAAAAAGTAAATATTCTGGCTCACGGATGCCTTAGAATACGGCAATATTTTCTCGCTCCTTTTGTTTACAATTTTTATTTTCAAGCATTCTGATTGGCGGAGAGCAAAAATGTCAACAAACGCGCTGATTGGCTTAGAACGAAATCTGCCCTTGTTTATTTACAGACAAAAGTGAAACAAGTGACCGATCTTCTGAACCTGAAGAAGATGGATCTGAAGATCAAAAAGCGAAAGGCAAGAATAAGCAATGTATATTTTTTCATTCCAAACTTTCAGGAAACACTTGATCTGCAGTTGGAAAAATATATGTTAATCAATATTCATAGAAGAACGTTCGGTTCTTCATTTAATTTTTTTCGCGCATAGAATATGTCAGAGGGATTTCTACTTTAACTAACTGTTTTTGTACTGGTTGTTAATGTTAAGGAGGTTTGCCTTTGCCGCCACAAAAATTCTGTGTTGGGACTTCGCCTCCACATTCTAAGAGAAAGAGAGGGAGATCAAAATCTCCTATGACCTCCAGGCCTAGAATAAATCAAACGGGTAATAGTACGCCATCTGAAGCCGAAAACAACGGATTTCCAATGTCCGAAGCAAGTAAGCAAAATATAATGCAGAGCATTTACCTTACTAATACATGCATATTTAGGCATTAAAAATTACACCTTTCGTAGGAAACAAACATTATTCGCCTCCACATGCTAAGAGAAAGAGGAGATCAAAATCTCCTACGACCTCAAGGCCTAGAATAAATCAAACGGGTAATAGTTCGCCATCTGAAGCCGAAAACAACGGATTTCCAATGTCCGAAGCAAGTAAGCAAAATATAATGCAGAGCATTTACCTTACTAATACATGCATATTTAGGCATTAAAAATTACACCTTTCGTAGGAAACAAACATTATTCGCCTCCACATTCTAAGAGAAAGAGAGGGAGATCAAAATCTCCTACGACCTCAAGGCCTAGAATAAATCAAACGGGTAATAGTACGCCATCTGAAGCTGGAAACAACGGATTTCCAATGTCCGAAGCAAGTAAGCAAAGTTTAATGCTAAGCATGTACCTTACTAATACACACATTATTAGACATTTAAATTATACCTTTCGTAGGAAACAAACATGGTATTTTAAAAAACTAACGAGAATATTTATTTAGAATTTCAGAAGAGAGTGCTGCATTTGCTGATGGACATACGAGACAGAGTTCAAGAAGTAGGGAAAAGATGTGCTCAAAACGAACCAGAATACAATATTGAACAAATAACCGATCTGGATCAGTTTAAAGCAATGAAGGCCAGTCTTTCTGACGAAGAAACGTCAAAACTTCTTGTAAGCATTTCATGTAATCATATGATTTTAAAGAACCATGTATGAAACAGTCGGAAACACTCAAGAGGAAATCTTTCTACAAGGCACTCTAAACAATTAATACATATAATAGCATACATATTATATTAATGTAATTCAAGTAGGATAAAGTTTGTCCAATTTTGCATTTTAGCTTTCTAAACTTAACAGTATTGGCGGATTAAGTGTCAAAGATAATGCTCGCAATATAATGTCCAGGTATATAGTACTTAAATTCTTCTTGGTGAGCTAATGTTTAATTTGATCTGCTTTTATCCAATAAATAACTGCTAGTAATAAGGACTGTTATATACTATTTTCCCAAACGCACTTAATATTACTTCTGAAATTATTATATACCGCTTTTAGGCATTTTCGCTTCATATAAACTGACCATTAGATATATATCCTGTAGATTAATGACAAATACCGTCATGGCAAAGATGAATATGAAAGGGCACGGCGGGAAGTTTGCGTTTAGTAGTTCGAAAGTATTTAAATTAGTCAAAGGTATATCAACTTTGTTACTAAAATTACATCAGTTGGTCTTCCTCTGATTTTTCAATCTTATTGTTTTAGAAGCTATTCTGAAGAACCATGATAGCACTGAGGCAGAGGTCGCACGAAATGTGGCTTCGTTGTTAAAATATGCTCCGGACAGAAGCGGAGGCGGAGGAAGGGTTAACCCATCACTTTGATGGACTTGTTTGTGTTTCATTTAGTCGGGACTAGTTCGAATGAAACCCGCTTAAAGGTTCATAAAAAATACGTTGTGTAATTCTTGTTTCATAAACACTCAGTAACGATTATGTATCCGATATCAGTTTGTGTTCCTATGCACTTATAGCGTGCAACATGGATACAACGCCCAAAACTGTTGTTTTTTCAACTTTAAATGAAGGGATGTAGTTTTTTCATCTTCAAATGATATGGAATCAAGATTGGTTTGTGACGTTTTTTCTAAGCTTTGCATGATCAGATCAATTTGCGCATTCAACATTTTCACGTTGTTTCAACGTTTAAAGTTTCACGTGTTTTCAAAGTCGAACAGCAGACGTTGAATCAAGGTTGGTTAGTGAAGTTGTTTCCACGGTTTGTAATCGACGTCAGATCAATTTTCATATTCAACATTTTCATAACAATGTTTCAACGTTTAGATTTAACGTGGTTTCAACGTCGAACAGTAGACGTTGAATCAAGGTTGTTTTGTGACGTTGTTTAGACGTATTTTAACCGACGTCAGATCAATTTGCATATTCAACATTTTCACAACGTTGTTGTAACGTTTTAATTTCACGTAGTTTCAACGTCGGAAAGCAGACGTTGAATCAACGTTGGTGAGTGACGTTGTTTAGACGTATTTTAACCAACGTCGGAACGATTTGCATTTTCAACATTTTTGCGACGTTGTTTCAACGTTTTAATTTCACGTGGTTTCAACGTCGGAAAGCAGACGTTGAATCAACGTTGGTGAGTGACGTTGTTTAGACGTATTTTAACCAACGTCGGATCGATTTGCATTTTCAACATTTTTGCAACGTTGTTTCGACGTCGTAGGCGGACGTTGTGACAACGTTGTATCAACGTCCTTTTGCCTACTATGACATATATAAGTCTGCTGTCGTTCATGACAGAACTTACACGTGATTAGATATGTGTTATAAAATCTCTAGGCACAATTAACTGGACTTTTGCATCGTTTATTTAGGGAAGAAAATGGCAGAAAATCCATCACTGGACCAAGGTAAAAGAATTACGAAATCATGCAATTTAGTTAGACAACAGTACTGTACAGAAGAACATGCATATCATCACAAGTTTTGATCTGAACAGTTTGTGTCACACTTCGTATCTTTTCGTCTTAAACATTTTGCATGTTTTGTCTAGGTCTAAATTCAACAGTGCCTTTCCTAGCAATGCAAGTAGTTTTCCGTAGACATTTTGTATTTTTGACCCACAGCTTTTAGTACCCAAAAGGTTCAAAATATGAATCCAATAATGTCAAGTTCTATATTTTATTGTCTTAATTAAGTCAGCCACTTTGCAAGGGCCATTTTTTTCTTCCGGGAAAATGACAAAAACTCACAGTATGTTGCCAGTATCACGCTGGCAAGAATTATAACGGCACGTTGAAACATGTTGCAGCTAAAACGCGGATAATTAGATCTGATCGATTGTACTAATCGAAACCAGAAAACACGGGTTGACAAAGTGTTGAGCGTGAACTGAGTAACGGACTTACCCCGAAATTTATGACGCAGACTTGTATAGTGCGGGCTCATGCATAGGGTAAAAATTAGGGTGTCGACCTAATTCCGGAAAGCACTAATAATTTAATCTCCGGGGTGTTATTCGAACACAACTTCAGTGTGCGTACGTTTACATGACATGATTAAATGGATATTGCATGATCGTGACGTTGGCAATCCTAAGACTTTTTAGGTGTAAAACGATGAATTAGTCTACAAGCGGGGAATTTCGTTCGAAAATATGGGCAAATTTGTTTACATTTATCAGGATATATAAAGTGAATCCGGAAATTTACAAACTGGCAAATAAGATAGCGACAATTATTAGACGAGGTAGTTGATCTGCGAGTTTTATCATTCACAAATTGGATACCGCGTTTCTGATTTTATTAGTCTGGCAGGAAGCTAAACAGGAACCGTAGTGGTTAGTGTACATTGACCTGTAATCATACTGTCATACCAAACCCCGTCGCTTTCTGTGACTATATTCTGTTTGTTCGTTGAAAGAATAACTCGTCATTTGGATCCAAATGAGATACATATTTCTAAAACGATGAAACAGGACAAGGTGGTCCACCTGTTGCAAACATCACTTTCGTTTCCGTAGCCTCGTCAGTCTCGCGAGGATTCTTTGTCAATTCGCCTTTCACCATGCATGCTAACACATTTGCTAACATATTAACACCGCGGTTTCAATTGAAATTTTTAAAGTCTCTAAGATTTTTTCCGTAATATGTCCGAACTATTGAAATATAAGAGTCCTTTTATAAAACCTTTTGATGTCGTTACGTTCAATATAACCAGGGAGCAGCGTGGCAGCGTGGCAGCGTGGCAGCGTCTTCAAACAAATTAGCATGAAATGTGGTATAACAACTGTCAAAATAGACAAAACACTTCTCGACGTATCGACCTCAGGGCCTTCGTCAGGAGAGTTAGTATGAAAATAAATACCGGAGAATACATGCCTTGTATGGTGGCAAAATCGGGATAAAAATAGGCCCATAAAAAATCAAAACAAATTGGAATACATTACATTGCTAAAGGCAAGTCGCTCGTGCGCTAATTTGCATTTTCCTTTAAAATAAAAAGTTAGTGAAATATAACACTTCGTAATGTGAGGGCAACAGACTTGGAGCACTGTGTGCCGAGCTCTACATGGATAGAACAGCTGTTTAGAAACGTTTTCGCAACCGAATCTTTTACCTTGCATGGCTATTTCTGCAGTCCGCCAAATTAAAAAATATATTGCTCAAAATTTTAGCCGTGTTCTCTCAACGAACTTATAAAATCACTCACATTCATACAAACACTTCGATTTGGATTGTTGATGAATTGACGTGTACTATACCAAGAAATTTTCTTAATTAAAGATATTGTTTTTCGCATTCCTAATATGAATTTTCCTCTAAGGTCTAGATATTTTCTGCAGTTGCACATAAAAATATTATCAACCATACAAAGCGTATAATTATACACATTCGAACAAACAGTGGGCAACATCCAGGGTAACGGCAATTTTAGGTGCTGTATACTTTTGCTATAATTTATGTATTGAGTTTATAGTAAAGCCATTATTGTTGAAAGTTATATGCAAATTAGTTTACATGCAAATCACCATGTCACAAATTTCTAGTAATATCTTCTCGTTCATTCGTACTAGCTCGATAAAAATACCTTTATAATTATATACATGGGAGCACATAACCAATCTGTTATTCTAGTCATTTTTATGTCTTGGTAAGTATAAGATGCACCAATTTGACCTCGATGCGGACGTGCAGCAATGCTATCGTTTCATGTGTTTCGCAAAACAGTTCAATGACTACTCACTTGAGGTTTCAAATGATCTAAATAGAGCCTTCTTCTAAATATTATTACATGAACGACTTAATGCATGCCAAGTCCATTATATAAAACGTATGCACTTATATTTAAGGTACAGGTGAAATGCCGAACAGAGTTCCACAGATTGTTGTACACGGTGGTTTGTATAATCATTTGCTAAACGAGAAAGGTCTTGTAAAAACTTACATGCAGGAAATAAAAGAAGCTGCCAAAAAGGGTTATGAATTTTTGAAGGTTAGCAAAATGTAATCAGAGAAGGTGATATATAGTAGTTATAAGTAAATTAAACGATTTGTCAAGGTTAACCTTGCACACGCCGTATAAGTGATCACACGAAAAGATTATTAATTGTTTCATTTGTCAATGAAAAATTATAGATCAAGCTTGCCAGTGACCCCTTCAACGTAGGGGCTGAAAATTATATAGGAACATTAACAAAAAAATAGAAGTACATTCATGAATAATTAAATTACAGATATTTTAAGCCTTACAGGTATATAATTGTATACAGGTATAGTACTTCCTATCCGTCATTAATTTACATATGTAAATAGATTGTATATATATATATATATATATATATATATATATATATATATATATATATATATATATATAAATATATATATATATATATATATATATATATTCAAATTTCATGTAATTTTATATCATTTGTCTGAAGATATCTTAGGTTAACGACGAAACGTTACAAATATATTTACTTTTAAACTTTAAATTGTTTTGATGGCTTTCTTAAATGTTATATGTTGGGCTCTCATATTTATAATAAGAATCCGTTTTCCGCCTGGCAAATCTCTAGCTACGTTATATAAATATATTCTGATGACCAAATTACTAGCTTAAAAATGATTGGCTTGGCAAATCAGAATATGCAATTGCAATTAACTGGGAACAATGGCGTTTAAAAAAGAATTTTGTATGCAATTACGAAATGCTAATGATAAAATAATAACATAATTTGTTGCTCTTGCATACAAGCCACAGTAAAACAAGTTCGTTTGAATATTTCCTAATACAGATTGGCGGCACTGCTGTTGATGCAGTCGAGGCGGCGGTTCGTCACTTGGAGGAAGATCCGAGATTCAATGCTGGTCGTGGGTCATTCGTGAACAGTGAGAAGAAGGTGGAATGCGATGCGATGATTATGGATGGAGAAACACTAACAGCCGGTAGGACTTTATCATTAAGTATGTAAATTAGTATAGCAATGAATTTTACCAGGGTGGTCATAAACATTAAGATTTAACCAGTTTTCAAGGGTTTGCGGAAAACACCTCTGAAGTAGATTTTAACCAAACCTTGAAAGATTTACTTTGAAAAAAATACAGAAAAATACGGAAAGAAAGCGATAGAAAAAATTACGAAGGAAATAATTCAGCGAATTGTTATATTCATCAAGGTTAGTTTCACCCAGCGCAAAGAAATGTTATTCATTGGCTTATACTATTGTTTTATTGTTGTTCAATTGCACTTTTGTGTATCATTAAAAACTGTTATATCGTTTTTCTAAACAATCGAAAAATCCCTATTAAGACCACCCTAAAAAATCTAGACAATAAAGCTACCACAAATTCATTCCATTTGGGTTAAAAATTAATATGAAATTTACCTCAAATTTCTAAAATATACGTAGAAAGTGATAATCAACGACTTTCACAGCCAGCCATTGCACAATGTTTTAAGACAAGGAGTAGTTGGTGCAACAGATAGTGCATACATTACCAAGCATAGCAAAGAATCAGACGCAAAAAAAATTGAAAGCCTACTTTCAAGACAAACAACCAACCCTTACACCTTTACGTACCTAAATTCCTTTAATTAATCACCACCAGTCTTGCCTACTCTAACCTGTTGTACCATAATTGGCATGGTTGAAATCATGTAAATATGTAAATAGTTCAATTGAATTGGTAATTGCGCTGTGGATATAAGAACCCAAGTGTGCATATTTTGTTAATAAAGTTTTTGTTAGATGTTAGTGACACCGTTGACCTTTGACATGCGACATTTGATAGCAGGAAATAGTTTGACTGACTAACGGAAAAATAAAAAAACTCATGAAGTCTCGGGACCTACACCTCCGTCGGTATCAATTGACACGTGATGAAGGTGATTGGGTAGTTTACAAAGAATATCGTAATAACGTAAAAATCAAAATTAAAGCCGCAGCGAAGGACCCTACATTGAACGAAGTAAGAGAGCATAAACATAATTCGAGATCCCTATGGAAAATAATTAATAATTTAATTCCCTCGAAAGAAAAGGAAATTAAAGTTTATAGTAAAGACTCCAAAACAGTTGCTGTGGGTCGGAACGCTGCTGAAACAGCGGCAAATTAAGTTGTATTGGTGCTTCACCTGAAGCAGTTAAATGGTTTCAAAACTATTTGACAGGCAGATTCCAATACGTGCGCATTCGATCCACCAAGACATTGACTCGCCCGAAAACCATGCACTGGCATTCCACAAGGCACAATACTATCACCAATTCTGTTCCGCATCTATATAAACGATCTGCCAGGCAGTATACAATCGAGTATCCTTGATTCATACGGGGATGACTCAAAGCTTTATAAATCATTCTGCATCTGTGACTTGGAACTGACAACTATTAATTTAGAGGCAGACCTACAGATAGCAGCCAAGTGGTGTTTGGAGCATCAGTTATTGATAAACCCAGAAAAAACTAAATTCCTTGTGGTCGGCTCAGACCCATGCTACAGAACTTACCTACAGAAATGTCGCTAACTTTTGTAAGACTATAAGACCTGTTCTATTAGCTAAGGATTTGGGAATCAATTTGGATTCATACCTATCCTACGATATCGAAACTAATTTCGTCGTGTATCAGAAAACTATGTCAAATAAATCGCGTGAAGGATAGTTTTGATAATGCAACAATAAAGTTGGTCATCGAGTCACTTGTAATTAAGAAACTACTGTACTGCTCAACGGTGTGGTCCAACACGTCATCTACCAACATCAATAAACTTCAAGCAGTGCAGATCTTCGTGTGCAGAGTTATATCAGGGGTAGGAAAGTTCGATCATGTAACTCCGGCGTTGCGCGAACAAAATTGGTTGCCAGTGAAAAGTTATTATTCGAAAGGGAAACTCTAATGGCTTACTAACTGGACTGTACTTGTACCTAACTACCTAGCAGATGAATTTACAAAACGTTCTGACATACACGATCGTTCAACAAGAAATCATGACCCCTTGGATATTCCTCTCTATAAAACTGCTGCAGGTCAAAGAACATTTAACTACCGGGGTGTTAAAATATTGAATAATTTGGGCGATAAAATTAAAAATATGGTAGCAAAAACAATTTTCAAAAAAGAACTTAGAAAGATTTTATTAAAAGAATCTTATTAATTATATTTAATATATTCCGTATTTTTTGTTCACTGGTCAAAATAAAGTTTACGTATCCATGGTGCATGCATGTATGTATGTGTGTGCGTATTTAGCAAAGTAGTGTAAACGATGAGCAATAAATATGATCCAAACCCACTTAGCCTGCGGCATGTAACTTGCTCATGTTACTGGAGTAGGACTGAAAAAAAAATGGGGTAAAAACAAAATTTCAGTAAGCGCCGTTGATTTATGGATCCAAAGCAGCACTTCACTTGCGATAGTAACCCCTAGTCTAGGTGATTATTTTAGCAAGTGGATAAAAGCACACCCTCTCGAGAATCAAAAGGCAGAAACTGTGACAGTGCGTTCGTGCAACAGTTCGTTTTGCGTTTTGGAGTCGAAATTATTATAATTCAGCATGAGCATTTTGTTAGGTGTTCATAAGACGCGGTCGACGACAGCGCTACATCCTCAATGGCCATGGTTTAACCGAACTTTAGATGTTTGGAAGATAAATAAATTTGCCATTATATTTAGTTTATTGTCGTCCATCTGGGTTGGGAGAAATTGAGTCAGTTAAAGACTATGTTGATCGACTATGGGCGAAAATAGAGAACAAGCACGAATTTGCAAGAACATGCATACAAATAGCGAGTGACCGAATGAAACGACGATATGACATTGGAAGCTCAGGAGAGACGTTTCAGTGTGGGGACGCGGTTTGGTTGTACAATCGCTCCCAAAAAAGATTACCTCCAAAACTGTCAAATGAATGAGAGGGCCCTTTTTACTGATAACACAGATAAACGACTTATCACATCGGGTACAAAGATCCCCTCGGGTGAAGTCTAGAATCGTACATCGAAATTGATTATGCCGTTATTTATCAAACCGGGACTTTTAAACTACGACAAGAGGGCAGTGAGCCATATCATGATTGAAATCATGTACATATGTAAACAGTTTAATTGAATTGCTAATTGCGCTGTAGATATAAAAACCTAAGTGTGTTTTGTTGATAAAGTTGTTGTTAGATGTTGATGACTTCGTTGACTTCTGACATGCGACAATACATTATATTCACTTACTTCGATTTATAATATTAAATATATATATACGCGTACGTTCGTACGTGAAAACTCACTTACGTACCTATTCATATGTGCTAAACCATAACTATACCTGATAAACTATCTATGTACGTAAATTAACCTTAGAATTGGTGAAGTAATTCAAACGTCATATTTGAAACCCATTTGAAAAAACACCGTTGAAGGTTCAAAGCCGAAAATACCTCGCCATAAATGCCGTGTTTTTTTCCTACACAAAATTTATCTATCGGAACACGATTTCAAGGCTTAAAAAACAACTAAAATAATATTTTTCGGAATCCTTGCCCCTGTAGCAAAAGTAATAAAAAAATTTGGTGAAAAAAAGCCATTTATATGATCATGTTGTCTTGGAAATAAAACCTACAAAAAATTTTAATCTACAAAACCGTACCATTCAAAAATTTTATAGTGAACCCTCCTCCCCTTTAAAGGGGTAAAATTTAGAGGAATTTCCATTACCCTAAGATAAAGTAAATCATATTCGTTTAGGTGCGGTGATGGCAGTACAACATTTTCTGCATCCTGTTTCACTCTCCAGAGCAGTCATGGATAAATCGACACATTGCGTCTTGTGTTCAGATGGAGCCCATAAGTTTGCTAAATCAATAGGTTTCACGCCTATCCTGGAAAATCCAGATCACCTAATTGTTTCGGAAGAAGATAAAACAGCATGTGCAATTGAAAGCATGCATGAATGTGTGGCTAGTACCCTTGATTCATATTGTTGCGATTCCGTTGCAGCCGTTGCTATGGACGAAAATGGTCATTTGGCTTGTGCCATATCAACAGGTATTAGCTTAGTTTTTGTTTTATGTTTAAAAGACAGCTTCTGTCACACAAACTTCCAAAACCTGGATGCAAGACAAAACTCTGTAAAATAACCCAGCTAAGAAAAAATCTGAGAAACGTCGACATCTAGGGCACTTTTAGACACCTACAAAATTTGAAGAAATTACAGACTGCAAAAGCACTTTCGTCTAAAATCAGCATTGGATGATGCTTTTTTTTGTAAAATAGTGTGCTTAGTAATTTATGGAGCATCCACAGACCTCTCGGTTTTGTTGTCGACAACTATCCTAAAGGGACCGCGGAAAATCTTCAATCACGAGGGGATATTCGTATATTCGTGTTAACACTCCTTTAAAACAACAATTTAAAAAGGGACTAATTAATAATGCAAACAAGAATTATGAATATTACTAATTGCAAAATTTTTTTTAAATTCGCTTTAAAAAATGTAAAATTGATGGATTTAAAAACGATTTTCGGATCCCTCAATAAATAAAATATATATTTATTTGTACACATGTGTTGAATCTATTGAAACGTGGTTACATATTTTCATTTTAAGATCCACCCCAAATCGCAGATTGCTTCGACAGCCGTGACAACTTTTAGTTTTCGATGACTGTCTCAATCACACACGTAGTAATTTAGCTCAGAGATAGACCGTTTCGATAATTACGTCACAACATTATCGTTTTGTACTTAGAACCTCCTTAACTGAGATGCATATATGGGTTTCACGTTCTACTCTCATGAGCGAGTTGCAAATATGCAAAACATCCTGCTTCAATACATGCATGAAAATTAGAAAAGTGTAGAAATTAGGCTTCCGGTCGTCGCCTGGTAGCCTCGTTTTAGTGATACGGCTTATTTCCACATTTATTGGTCAAAGCTATTTTTTTCATGCTTGTGCTTTGTATCATTGCACGTGACTCCTGCGAGTAAAACTTAAAATCCATCTCGTTTAATTAAGGCCAGGTGATTCTAAATTTAAACGATAATGTTGTGACGTAATTATCAAAAGGGGCTATAGCTGTCGACAAGTAACGAGTTTTCCTGAGAAAATCGGGGAAGTCGTTAGTTCGACTGTTTACGTTTGTCGACGACTAACTTCACAGACGTCACTTTTTAGTTGTCGACGCCTTTTACTTGTCGATATCTAAAATTACAGACATTTTAACGAAAATATAATTTATCTTGTTTTTATCAGGTGGTACACCCAACAAACTGAAAGGTCGTGTTGGAGATGCACCTCTGATTGGTTGCGGGGGTTATGCAAATGAACATGGTGCCGCAGCAACTTGTGGACATGGAGAATCGATAATAAAATTGACTTTGGCTAAAGAGATTGTTTACAATATTGAAGGAGGGCAGAATGCTCAGGTTATAGCAATAAACATAATGCAGACTTTTGTTAAGTGTTATTACAAACCTTGAAAATATTTTTCTTGAACATTAGGAAGCTGCAGATAATGCTGTGAAAAAATTAGACTCTGACGATCGTGTAGTACCTTTTGCTGGAGTCATAGCGATTGATAAAGAAGGGAACGTGGGGATCAAAACCAATACTACATTCATGCCTTGGGCATCCATTAAGAATGATGAGATGGAGTATATGTCCTATGAATCCGCTTAATATAAAATGATATTGTGATAAGTAAAAACCTACAAGAGAATTTAGTTTGTAATAATTGAACTTTCAATTAGAACTGCAATTGCAACTGTATTTTTAAATATGTTTGAAGATTCAGCCCGGCACTCCATAATTATTATGTACGCCGGCGCGCTATCAATTATATTTCAAGCACGGAAGTTTCGATATAACAATGCTTTATTCCTCATAACACAATTTACACAGCTGATGAAAGACTAAGTACTAAAATAATTTAAATAACGTCATAGTTTAGTAACCTAGCCGCATAACTGCATTTTTTCAGCAGCTCGTTGTCCACGGTTGTGTTTTTTGAACATCCTACAAAAAATATTTTTCCAACGATTTCTATATTGGATATATTTAGCCTTTTATGGCGTCTGTAGAAGCTAGGAAACAACGAAAATGGCGAAACGCTAGCTCCTAATCTAGCGCCGCGAGCAAGCTCGCGAGGAAATAGTCCGGTGGTAGTGGTAGTAGTAGAAAAACTTTATTTAAACACACATCCCTCATCATGAGAAGATGTTTTTCATGAGCGGCGTCACACAAGTTACAAGAAATAATCCAATATAAAATCTAAATTATGTACACACATTTAAAAAGCTAAAATAATTAGTATAGATCGATGTTTGACTCGGTTGCTATATTTATATCAAATTTTTGAAGCTACATATGGACTCTTGTCAAATTTTTGAAGCTACATATGAACTACATAATTATGGACGCTTTGCTTCCATTGTTAGGCTATTCCAAGTACTCAGTATTAGGCTTAGGATTAACTGAGAGATCAGTATGGGCATTTCCATTTAGTTCGCGATCTGTTTCCATTCTATTAAATTTATCCATCAAGTTTATTTTGGAGCTGATTGGCCGTTTAGTATTTTGTTAACCAAGACTGCCCTATTTATTTTGAATCTGTCATTCAGATTTTTCCACGACATATAGCATGAAGCAAATCTGACGACCTGATATCGTAACTGACAATTGTCATAACCCTAAATTGCTGCCCTACTTTGCAATTTTTGCAATTTATCCGCAATTCAACCGCAGTTGTCCCATAATGGTGAACAATAATCAGAATATGGGATCACGAGGGAATTGTACAAATTTTATAGAGTTTCATACGTCACAAATGTTCTAACTCCTTTCATAATGCCGATACCGGAGCCAAATGTTTTACATATTGAATCTATATATTTTTCCCATTAATTTTTAACTTTTCATGTAGTTTTGCTACTAGATCAGGGCGGTTGTATCAAGCCCGTTTAGCTTAAACGGTGGATATGTCAAAATTAAATAACGCTCTTACATCTCTCTTTATATTTAGTCATGTTATTCGCTTCGTCAAAAAATACACCTTTATTTAAACGGCTCGATCTCGACTAATATTGTACAGAATTGTTCAAGACATATATCAAAATTTAAGTTAGACATCACAGCGTTCAACAAACTTTATTTGAATAAGATATCTGTATTAGTTTTTTAATTACGATAAGTCTAAGAGGGGGAACATTATTTGCGCCGAAGACAGCAAACTCAAAAGAAACACAGTTTCACCCTAGCCCGATGGTTTCGCTCGGATACCGTCTCCATCCCTACCGATCGGCAGCGTGCAAAAATACAGTGTAAGAGCTGGCCAGGTGTGTTATTGTATTGTATACTGATGTGAGCCTTTGGATCTGTTAGAACGTTAAATGAATATGAACTGTATTGTTTATGTTCAGAAGCTTTATTTTGAGGACTGGCACGTGCGCGGCACGCCAGAGTTCACACCAGAACAGGCGGTTTGTTATAATTATTCATGTCTTTAGAAATCTATTGTTTTCACAGTCAGTGAACACCAAAATATTGGCATAGCGGGACAAATCGACAAGCTGGCTACGCTACTGAGTATAATATTAAATTTATGATCGCCGTTTAAAACACGCATTAAGTTGGTTGTTTTCATGCTTGAGAAAAATGTTTCACAAAGTCACAAACATATTTTCTCTATATACTTCGCCTTTATAATGCGAAAAAAATTTACCCTTGGCCCCCGATAGAAATAAGGCGATTCTTTATTACCTGCTCGTGCGAAGCGGCTTTTCAAATCTCCCAATTACGCAATATCATTGCTTTGTCGTGTGTCCAGCCTTTGAAATAGCATCATACCTCTGTTTATAACTAAATCACCTCCTAAAATAAAACGTTTCAATATTTTTGGCGGCTATATGATAACGAGAAGATCAGAAGATGCTGACTGCCGGACTATTTTATCAGATTGTTCTTAGCTCAGTTGCTTTACTTGTTCTGTATAAAATTGGGAAATATTTCACTGGCATTGGCCTCAAGCGAGGTGAAAGGCCACTAAACATGCTATCTTCAAGTCATCGTCAACTTGGACTTTTCGAGAAAATCTTCGATATTTTTTCCATGGAAAGGTCAGGCTCAAACAACATCTGCATAGCGATATCAATAAAATCGAATGTCAGCCTGGTGCATCGACATGTTCGCAACGCTTTGATACTCTTGGTCAAACGACAACCAATGCTTCGAGCAGTCATAACAACAATGTCTAACGGGGATAAATATTTCATAGTAAAGGAAATTGAAGAAGCTATTGCGATGTTAGATATCACCACTTCAGACGTAAAGTCCTCAGACTGGAAAGATATCTGGTATGAACATACATCAAAACAGAGAGCAAGCGATGGGCTGTTATGGCGGGTTGTGATATTAAAAGAGGAATTTTTAACACATACTAAAGATTTTGCAAATACATTAGTGTTTAACTTTAATCACTCGTGCATTGATGGCGTGTCTTGTGTGAAGTTTTGCCAGCAATTACTCGCTCGGATGAACGAGTTAGCGAATGGCTCTAGCCGTGTTAAGGAGGAAATATGCAGCCTTGATCTGCTGCCGTATTATCATAATATCATCATACGTGGAAGAATTTGGCATTCGCTGTTTAATTTTGTTCTTACATACTGTGGTCTGCAACCTATACTTAATTACTTGATGAAGAAAATGTTTGTTCGAGTCATGAAGAAAAAGCCACTGAATCCTTATTATGCACAGTTTCCAAGGAATATAGAAACTCCTCAAGATGGCCACATAAAGCTACCAGTAATAAAGGAGTTCAGTAAGGACGAAACAATAAAGTTTGTAGAAGCGTGCAAAGCCAATAATTGTACTGTAACTGGAGCTATCACAGCTGCAATACACCTAGCATTCTGTTGCCTTCTTCAAAATGATCTGTCGAAGGAACTCGTGTTTGATTACATGTTTGCAATCAATTCTCTACGCTTCTGTAATCCGAAACCAGACGAAGACTACCTCGGTGTCTTTATGTATAATTCAGATTATAGTCTAAAGTATGCGGATATCGATAACGCAAACACTAGTTTTTGGAAGCTGGCGCAACAAATATCTCAGAATTTAAAAGATATCGTAAGAAAAGAGGCATTTGTCCCACAAATGACGGTGTTAGATAAAGCATTTAAGCCAAGGGAATTAATGAATCTTTTCTTTGACCCAAATTACTGGGACAAAGCAAAGTGCAATTACATTTCCAGTTTTGGCTCTTTTCATGTTGGTGACGCAGTTGAGCAATCCACGGTTTATAGCCTGAGTAACTTTCTCACGAATACACTTTCGCGCGACAGGAATTTCAACTTTGGTCATTTTGTATACTCGATTAATGATAGAATGACCTGGCAAATCGTAAGTGATGTTGCCTTAGATAATGGTCATGCTGACAAATTTTGCAAACTTTGTTTTGATAAGCTTATTGAAATATCAAGTGGTATGGCTTGATGACTTGTGTGTAGTTTAATATACTTTTTGGTTCCTTATATTTCTAAATGAACATGAATTGAAGTTGATGATCAGAACGTAAGGTCGTGCACCAGAAACGTGCAAAATTTCAGCAATTTTAAATCAAGTAGTCTATCCATTGTTATACGAATAACTGATGCACACGCAGAAGCCACTGTAAATGCCTTTCAAGTTTACATTATTCAGTTCAGTATTGTATCCATTATATGATTTGATATAGTGATTGAAAATGTAAACAAGACGTTTGTTTACATGCATTAACGACTGTAACCCACCTTTAAAATACTTAAATGCATTTATAACTCGTTTGTATTATATAGCGCATCTCGGTTTTTCAATATATTTGTCATTTCTATCAAGTTTTATTGTTGAAATGGACCAAAGAAGTGCTTAAATCATAGCAGCGTGAAGCAGTTTAACTGCTACAATTAATAATTGTTTTGCACGTGGGACATGAGGGGAAAATGGCCCGTGATATTCATATGGAACTATAGACAGTCAATAAGTGAGGTTTTTAAACCGTCTATGAAAACATGGACTGGTGGACGGTTTTATTTGTGAAAAGGGCGTTTGGTGTTAATGTGAAATTTGTTCAGGGCGTGAATTTAGAGCTGCTTTGCTCTGTTGTGGTTTTTCCACCTGCGTATAGGCACGTAAAAGTTTAAAATGATAATTATGAAATCGGCGACTGATTAGATGGATAGGGTTGCATCAGCCTCGTTCCCAGGCGCTTTAAATAAAATAAACAAAGGAACACTACAGGTTTTTACATAGATCAGTGGCTAAGCTGAGCGAGCGCGCAAGGAATTTTTGGCGAGCGCGCAAGAAAGCGCCTGGCAGAAAATGAATAAAACATAGCGGCTCACGATTTATGAGTCGCCTTCACTGTTGTTTATTATTCAAAAGTGTTTAAATATAATTAAACGCCCGAATTTTAAGAGCGATACACAGAAATATATGCATGGGGAAAATTTTATGCACGAATGAGGAGTGTTTAGATATCGCAATGTCATCGTTTCCAAATAAAGAATTTTCAAGCTGGGCAAAAGGCGAATCCATTCGAATTTACAAAATTCGACATTAAGAAGAAATAAGAAAATGTATGGATAAGATTTTTGATTATCGTATAACAAAGGGTTGCTATTGGCGGAGACGACATGGCGGAGTGCCA